TTGTATACTTGTAATTTGGACGAGGAGAAAAACACAATACAATACACTTCTTTTTTTTTACTCTTTTCTTATATTATTACGACCATATTTTTTAAACAAATGCAACCCTTAAAAAACGCACACCAACTTATAGCATTTTGCCCTATACACAATTTGTAATACCTTTATTTTAAATTTGAATAGTCATGTACCTTACCTCATTTATGGCGATTAAACGATTTATAAAAAAAAAAAATGATCTAATGATGGATGTGCCACTGTTTTAGGCGATAATTTAGGGAGTCAAGATACATAATCATGTTTGATTAAGTTATTTATTTATTTAATTTATATCTACAGGAAGTATAAGCAATGATAAAGCGTTCAGAAGAAGTGCACACACACGCACTTGAATAATATAACATAAAAATAACTAGATCTAAAACGTAAAGAAAAAGGTTTTCTTGAAATGTTTGATTAAAGCAAGATTTCTGGTAGAAATATAAATCGTACAATTTAAAATAATGAAATCAGTAACGCCACGACGTGCTGTAAATATTTGGTTGTTCTACAATTTTCTTTACGATTTTACCTATTTATTATGAAAAATCCTTAGAAAATAACAAATAACATTACTAATTTAAAAATCAGATTCAAAATGCAATAAAAAAAGTTTCTTGTTATATTTTGATTGGGGCAAGATTTCTGGTAGGAAAGTTGTTTACAGGCAGAAAATAAAATTTAAAAAAAAAAGACAGACATTCTTCGCACGTAGGTGCAGTCACTGCTGTGGGAGAGGGAAGTTGGAAAAGTAGGGAATTTAATGTATATATGTAATCAACGATAAACCATTGCTAACGAAAAAAACGTTTCTAAGCCCAGTTCAGTTTAAAATGTTGCTTTGTCAACAAATAGTATTATGTCATATTATAGTAAAATGTTTAAACAAATATGCGTTTCCAGGACAATGATTGTAAAAAATAATTATATTATATAAAATTAATATTAATATTAAATATTATATAAAATTATTATAAAAATATTTAAATATATAAAATTTAAAATAATAAAAACTTAATGATAACAAAAATTAAATAAAAACGGTTTTCAATGACAACGTTATTTTTAATTTTTCAATTTTTTTTAACCTAATGACCGAGGTTTTCCTCATTATCTCGAATAATAATGAGAATTTCAAAAAATTACCACTTTAAAGTACCACTCAGTGAAAATTTCCTTTCAAAAAAGGTGCTATGTTTGATAATCGAAGTATGCTTACTGGTTGAAAAAGTGGTCACATAAAAAAGAAAAAAAAACATCATTGTAGAACCACTATATCACTCGCTCAGCTCAGAGTCCAAAATAGAAATTTAACACATTTTTCGCTACGATTAGAATCTACAAATATATCCATAGAAACCATACATTTAATTTATAAATAATTAGAATGTTAAAGTAATGTTCCTATACAAAGTGTATTTTTACATAATATATGCACTTTGTACTTTGAAACCATAATATACCATTCTTATTGGAATGGCCTATTCGTGCTTTATTATCGATGGCGAGGTATGAAATTTGTTGATGAAATAGGTTCCATGCGGGAATTCAAAAGTAACAATTAATATTCACCCATAAAGAAGTTAAAATCTGGCTCTGTAAAAAAATATCTGGAATCACTACGTTTGATTCAGAGTTGACAAAATTACTGACGGAGAACCATCGCAATGAGCGAGTTCATTTTATAAAAGAAATGCGGCCATTTGAATCTAAACGGGTGTTTTCGCCCATAAAATTCTAAACTGCGCAAGAACTTTTTACTAGCAAAAATTATACAACTACGCTTTTTACAAGATATATTTTAGCAATAATACTATTGCATTTCGTATTTCGGTTTAAAATTAAAATTTCGAAAAAAAAATCTACATATGTAGTTACACAGATAATAATATAATTTTATCTATTATCTTTGATAACAATAAATAAATTCACCGTAACAATATTAAAACTAACAACACAGATTTGTCTCAACTGAACGTACATTTTCTACTTCACGCGTTCGTAAGACCGAGACAGCAAATGCGGGTATCACCGTCTTTTAAAAAATGAAAAACAATTTAAATTAACTTATAGCATATTATTATTATTCTTAATTTATTGAGTTAATGTATAATAAAGAAAATTCGATAAAAAAACGTTACTTATAAAAGCTAAGTCAAAAGTTAAAAAGAACTTATAATGATTAACTTCACTTTTTAAACTAAGAGGATTGGTATAATTTAGTCAATTTAGACCTATAAGTCTGACAAAACTGAAGGGATTGTGTTTAACGGATTTCAATTTTGAAAACAAATTATAATTCTTTAGGTAGTATATAGGATACTTTGGAAATTTAATAATTATTTTACTGAAAATCGTATACAAAATGTGTAATGATAATATTTTTGAAAAATTTTCAAAAATGAATATAAAATATTTTGATTTTTACTCTTAATAGAGAAAACTAAAAATAATTTAACGTATCTCACAGTTAAAAACATAAATAATACCAAATCAAATTAGTCATTCTTATACAGTTTTGTCTGGCTTTTCATTGTAAAATGTTATAATCATCGGTGAAAACGGCTATATCCCTATCCTATTTTTTGCTAGCGTTCCAAGCGGGTAAATATTCAACCATAATCATTAAGTGTTTTTATTATTGAGAAACATGCTAATGGTACCAAGATATCGATATTATCTTAAATCGTAGTGACAACATTAACAAATGCTGTGAAAATAGATCACTAGAAGCGCTAGTATAGTAAATCGAAACAGCCTATATCTGGATTAAATTTTGTCGTCACAAGATTAATATGTTATCACTAGAGCCCGGATTTATATGGATTTACATGTTGGTTTTGTTTTAACAGTCCAAAAAGTAACTAGATAAACTACAAGTTTGAATTATAGTTAATAGATCCGAAATACAAATTTATATATATATTTATCATATTTTTTTGTACATTTTGTCATTTTTTGATGTGTACTGCATTAATTCTGTATTTTATGATTTTTCATCGCATTATAGTCGAATATCTAAATGTTTCTACGTTTATTATTATAGAACCACTCGTATACTTTTATCATAACCAGCCAACTGGAGTTGGGATTTTATACACGGATAATTGATTTGCGCTATTATGACGTGACTTTTTTTTAAATTTTTGATAAGTACATTCGGTGCCGTTATGATATTATTGCCCGTTTGTGCAACCATTTAGTAAGTACCTATGTCCATTGTCCGCGGTACCTGCGTATACACACATTTAGGCTGGGTTTCATAAACCCGGTCATCACTAAAATACTAATCGTCTATGCAATTCAATTATTTTTTTTTTTTTTTTTTAAAAACGCCACTTGGTTAGTTACAAGCTCATCAGTAAAGTTACAGACCGAACATTATGCAACCCGCCCTTACTCGAAGTCGGACGGAAAACGTTACGGAATCCATCTTACGGTTTTTCGTCGGTATTTGAGTGCCCGACACAATGGCGCGCGCGTACGACGAATAATGCCCGCGGTTTCCAATTATTTTCCGACGACGCCTCTTCGCCGCGACACAAATGATCCGGAAAAAATTGCCGAGACCGTATTAACGGCGTGCGTGTGTGTGTGTGTGTGTGTGTGCGAATTAGCCATTCCGATCGAGCGAGAGTTAACTCGATCGACGGGGGGGGAATTACGACGCGGCGGCGGTCACAACCCCCCGGAGGATATCAATCACGCGCGGCGGCGCGTACATAGTGTGCGGCGGGGATAACGAGTTTATCGGCCGAGTTCGGTTCTAGCGCGGAGACAATAACGGTCGCGGTGCCGAAACAATATTCTCCGCGGCGGACGAGACGGCGAGAAGTCGGCCCGGTAATTGAGTTTATGTACCGGAAACCCCGCGGATGACGGGCGACTAGGTCGTGTATCGTACACGGGTACGCGAGTACGTTACGTTATAGGCATGACTCAGTCACGCCGCCGCCGCCTCTGACTGATCTGCAATTATTATTATTGTTAATAGTCGACGGGCCGACATAAACGGAAGGACGGGAATGGGGGTAATGAAATAATGTCGAAATCGTCGTCCGGCCATGTGCGCATATTTACGGGTCGCGTAAATATTATTTATGTGTCGTCGTGTCGTGACGTATGGCCGACGATGGAAACCGAACGACAGTCCGTCCGGACCGACCGCGCGCGATATTATAACACGTTAAAATTGTTCGGAGCATAGTAGGGCACATAACGAACAATTGAAGCAGGCGTATTCTGCGTGTACTTCTGTCCGTTTTCCGAGGGAGAATATTTGGAAAGAGAGGACCCGGCTGAATAGGAATATCGGAGAGCTCCGTGTGCGTGATTCGGGTACAGTGTTGGATGACATGGTATATGACGGGGGTAGATAAGAAAAAAAAAAATTCATTACCAATTGTTAGTGACTCTCCCCCTCCCCCAACCGTTGGTAATAAGACTCTTTTGGACAATTATTGACTCAAAGGTCATTTTCTTTATTTTTTTTTCGATCGTTTCGGGGGCATTTCAGAAATTTTCTGATATCAAATGTTCCTTATTTGAATTTTTTTTTTTTTTTTTAAATTTAAACACGTTGGTATGAATTTTATATGGCAAACTATAGCGGATGAGGACTCGTATAATAATGTTTTCTGCAATGTTAATGTCAAAACCTAGGTAAAGAGTGGCGGCGTCTATACGACAAAACTAAATTCACATTCAAACAAAAATCATTCGTGCCAAAATTATTAAAAATAAAAATATTTAATACATTATTTAGAATTTTTAGGGCATCGAAGCATCTTTTAAGAACATTTTGTAGGGCTTTATATAGGGTAGGTATACGATTCGTAGACCTAATTATTAGGTATCTGTAACAGTACTTTTCCGGATAGCTCATCGTGGTTTTCCATCATTAAACCCAGTCGAAATGAACTTCTAGAACCATTACGTCTCGTGAAATGGTAATCGATCCACTAGAACCAATATAAATCAATTCCCTGCAATCCTTCTCTAACAATCGCTAAATTCATATAATTCAGTTCAAAGTTTCCACGCCCTTTTATACAGCTTCCCACCTCGTCCGTGGCTTTTCCAAATATATTTTTCCCATATTGAGTTCTACTCCAGTCCAACACGCAGTAGTGAGTGTTGGCTTCTACGTGCTTGTTTAGGCCATCACAGTCTTTCTCTGTTGACGATATCTTTCTCCTCACGTTATCTGTAGCTCTCTGTTTTTCCTTCGTTTCCAATGAAGAATGAAGACTGTCCGCTCTTCGATAATATTATCGTTGTCTGGTCCAAAGATCTTCAGTATTATTTTTCTTTTTAGTACCGAAAATGCATTTTTATCGGTTTTATTCAATGGTCAAGTTTTAGATCCATAAAATGTTAGTTTTTTATTTCTCTATTTCTCTATTAACGGTTCAACAAATTCAGTAATATTATGAAAAATAAAATAAAAAAAAGACCATCCATTACTCTTTGTATATCTCTCCTCGGCACTTGTATATTTTAACACATTTTACCTAAATTTAAGTTTGATAAACGGTGAAAATATAATAGGTAATGTATTACTCACTTTATAGGTACCAAGGTCATCTACAACGCACACTAATGTCGCTTCTCTACCAACCGGAACGGTGACATTTGCTATCGGTGCAGCAAATTTTGGCATCTCTATTAAACAAAATAATAAATAATATTTTATAAGTATAAGTATATTTCTATAATATTCGGTACACTTTAGGTATCATCGCCCACAGCTAGATCTTGTATTCTATATATTTTACGTTGTGTTTAGACTGTTTAGAGAGATATGTCTTATAGGTACCTACTTAAATTGTATAGGAGTATATATTTTTTCCAGACCCGTCAAATGTTTATCGCGAACTGATATTATTTTTTTTTTTTGTCGGTGTATCGTCGTGATGGATATTTTAAATTGATTTTAGACGACATCGTTCAATAATATTAAGTATAATATTATTAAAACGATTTATCCGATGTTAACCGTCACACACGCGTGTGGGACGGGTTATTGCATTCGAAAAGATTGACGAATAAAAATATTATATTGTATTATAATGTAAGATCAAAATAAAAAAAAGTTTGATAGATAGGTTATACGCTCCTTTACGCTCCACCTATACATAAAACACGTCGGTAATATAATATATATATATATATATATAATAGTATTATCATCGTAAAACTTTTCTCCGACGTAATATTTCTAAAAAAAAAAAAAAAAATCGAAGAACGTATAGAATCATTTAAACGAATAGATCTCATACGTATGTATAGTGTATACCTGCTGTACTCAAAACTTATGTAAGATACAAATAAACATGTAATGTTTAATTAATGTGCAACAAATTGGCACGTTAAAGGTTAAAACGACGTAACTATACTGCTGTAGCGTTTACGGTGTTAATTTTAAAATAACACATCATAGTACGTTATGTATGCTCCGAATATCCAACAAATGCCATTTTTAGTCGAATTTCCGCCGAAAATTGAGACTATATTGTAATGTATTATTGTGTCTGTATTGGATCTACTAAACGACAATTAGACATTATCCAATTTTCAAGTCAATTCAAATAAGCTCAAACTCCAGAATTAGAGCTATTTTATGTTGGTGGATTGAAGTGATAAAAATTGGATCGAATATTTCAACATGAATTTAACCAAATTTTTCAGAGTGAAATACAGACCCCCACTCTAAATTAGGCTAGAGGGATGAAATTTCGTATACACACATATATATATATGGTATTAGTATCAATGATTTGCCTTTTAAGGATTTCAACTTTTAACTTCCATCACTACCGTCGTTTTGATTAAATTCTATCATTTTTGTTTAATAGTAGTATAGTATCAAAGTGTTGAATTTTATTATTAATAGTATTCGATCATTCAAAATTCTGTAATGCCAAAAAGATAGGGCAAAATTCGGCTCTAGTGATCAAGTAAGAACTTTACATTGTATTTAGATAGCCTTAGTAATAAAACTTTGAAATAATAAAATACATTAAATTAGTATTCAACGGTATATCTAATGTAGCTAACACCTACTTATTAACATAATAGTATTCAACGGTGTAGCCAGGAGGGCCCACTCAGAGTTTAATTTTTTTTTTTTTTTATTATTGCGGGAATTTGTATATATTATAAGTAATTTTTTTGTAGTAATAATATTTTAGGATCATCAACCGAAAAAAAAACTAATAAAATGCAAAAAAACGTTTTGAAATTAAATCCGAAACCGATCAATAACTGTCGCGTTTACATGAACAATTTTTGTCGGATTAGGTATGTTTTTATATAATATTATAGTATTTACAAGGGGTGGCAATACCTACAAGGCATTAACGATAGTTCTTCTGTTTTTCTTACGCTTTTGTCCCAGATATTTGGGGCGGACAAAGACCTTAACGATAATTGCATTCATAAAATATCCGGTTGATTTTAACTTTAAATTTTCTATTTACTTGACTTTTAACTATTATTAGCTTATTTGTTTTACATTAAGATGGCGCCATGCTGCCATATTCGAACGACGAGTTGTCTCCATATTGCGATCGCACGACAAAGCCAATTTGCGTTCGGTAGCGACAACTTATTATATTATAACGCTCTTAGTTTTCATAGTGAATTGATCAATTATCAAACACTTAAAGATAAAAACGTTATATGTCTGCAACAACGTCGGTTTTTTCGAAATTTTAATTATCAAGCGGGATATAAGCATTTTAAAATACAAAGAAAAAAAAAAAAAAAAAAGGCAGAAATCACAGAATTTACGTGTACATAATTTCTTATCGTAATTTTTGACAGTGACCATTTCGATTAACACGCTAGGCAAGGTCGTATTCCACGATAAAGTCAGTTTAAAATTCCAAAAGCCCCAAGCGTTCTACTTATATCGCGCATTCCTCCCATATTTCACTTGCGGTTCGTCGTATATGAACCTATACGATGGATTATTTAGAACGACTAAAAGGTTTTATGTCACACAAAAAGAATGTATTTTTTTTTAGGTTTAAAATATTTCTGTAACATCACGAGTATTTGTAAGTATTTGTAGGTTGTTTAAAAATATATAATTACAAACAATGAGGACGATATCGAATTTCAGCATTTGATAATAATTATTGTACATATCTAATATCCATATTCATAAACCTTCTGAACAATTAATTTTGTCGTCTATTTTCGGATATTATGTTTATTCGTTTACACAATGGTTAAAAAAACCGGTAAATTTATTACGAATAACATTTAATTTTATAAGTAGGTAGGTACTTATTTTTAACAACACTCTAAAAATATCATTTCGAACGAAAAACCATTCCAATTGGAGTTAAGTAATATATTTCCAATACATTTTAATTGGAGATTTTGTTGTAATTTGTAATTTCAAGAAAAATAAAAATTTTTCATGTTTTCAACGAATCGTATTATACGTACATTTGAACTTAAACAGTCGACTTTTAAAATACTCACGACAAACCTTTTATCAAATTATTGAACATTTTTGTAGAACTAGAAAAAAAAAACATGAAATGTGATTTTGACGATTTTCCACAAAATCTAAACTGCAAACGCTAATAACAAAAAAGTTGCAATTACTACGTATTTGCGATACTTGTATATTATATAAAGAACTTTGGGTCAAATGTGTACACTGAATCAATCTAAATTCGATCCGCAGAAAACCAAAAAAATAGCAAGCCAAACATGATTTCACGCAGATGCAATGCATCTGCAACTAGACAAAAGATGCTACCCTTGATTTTTATATGATTATTAGTTGTTACAGATTGGAGCGGGATTTCTGGTCAAAAAATGGTCTACACACAAATTCAATTCAATGTAAAAAAACGTTCGCAATAAGACAAAAAAAAATTCGTATAGGGAAAAAAGCTCGTAACATGTTTTAGGCACCGTAGTCGTAACAATGTTATTAAAATCGTGGTACGTATCGGTGTATTATTATCGAATGACGATAATTATTTAGTTCTATATCCACCTGAAATATACTTTGCCGTAAAATTATAGAGCATGATACGAATTATACGTACTGTAATATGCAATAGTGATAAATATTAAATACGATTATCCGTGTATGTACTGCAACTGCTGCAGTCACAAGGCCAAAAATCGATAAAATCCGAATTAAACCGTTAAAAATATGTAGAGATAATATGAGGTTTCCTATATAACCGCCACCGCCTTTAGAATTTCATCGTTTACAAACGTATACGATATTATTATGTTCGACGGATCGTTAGTTGCAATACGATAATAATGATACTATTACGCACACGTAGATCGGTTTGAATTTGAGTTTTTTTTTTCTAGAAAAATTCTGGGCATTTTAATATTCGCGGGAAGCATCAGAGAAGATTGAATCCGAAGGCCGTGCGTGATATGGTCTAAAGACCAATGAGTTTTTATTTTTTAATCCAATCAGATCAAATTTTAATTTACCTATAAATATACGAAAAAGGGAAACCAATATTTTAGTTTTAAGTAGTTCGAACTTATAATACATTATATTTGATCGGACTAATACAATTCGAGTAGAAAATTTTATTTTGTTTAAAACAAAAAACTATTTCTTTCGAAAAACTTTTTAAATCCGTCACTCGGATAGGATTATATCGCATTGATTATATGCCCGCACCTAATGAATGTAAAGAAAAAAAAAAGGAATTTTAGTTTTTTTTTTTTTTTTTTTTTTCGAAAACCATTTAAACATGAGTGCTCAAAGACACACAGGTTGAATAACTAGCACAGCAAACAATATATGATGAAATGATCGATATTATTCATAACTATATTCGGTAAAAAAATAAAATCTCTTCACTAGGTGTGCTCACACCGTATTTTTGGTTACATTTTGTATATATTCAAATTCAGATTTTTGGGATTATTAAATGTAGTTAAAGCCGATATTTTCGAATAGACAGATTTTTCACAACATTTAAGGAGTATCCTGTGGCAATACCGACTATCTGTGTATATCTGTGAACATACTCATGAAAGTGACGACAAATACATATATCCTTTTCCATCTACCTAAATGACTTCCCAAGTCTCTGTTTATATATATATATATGTATATTTGTTATAATTGTTAATTGCCCCGGTTTATAACTTGTAACTCTGTGAAACGCCGAGAGGGTGACCAAGTCCCCGCTCGGTCGGACCCGTCCCGTACGATTTATTTTATTATATCAATGAAACTTACGTAATGTTCTTTCGACCTTTGGTCGTTATTAATAATATAATTATCTTGTCAATAACAGAGAGTTATATTTCTCTTTGTCTATTTTGTTTTTTTAATTTTTTGTAATCTCTTTCTATATTCTTATTTATTGCGAAATCCTCATTACTATGTAGAGAAGTTGGAGACCTAAACAATCTTTACATTTCAAATATGGTTAAAACCACAACCAATCGCTGTATTTTCGGTTTGAACACAAGGCCTGCGAAACACGTGCAAACCGAACCTTACAAGGTCTCTCATGTATTCGTATACAGAGTGTATCAGAAAAGGCTGGCTAATTCTACGGATTGTGACTCTATACGTGGCTATACGAATTGGTTTTTTGGAATTTTTGTTTTCTTATCAAAATTTTGGTTTCATCCATTTTATTTGTAAAA